AGAACCTCGTTTACACATGAAAACTTGAGAGCCGCATGGGTAGTCTTGAGAAGGAGTTTGCTATCAAAATTGACAATTTCATTGCAAACTCATCGTGTATTTGGCCAAGTGAAAGTACTTTTATTATTAGGGATGACAACGGAACGGTATAAGATGGTTCGGTCATTTTCACCCCCTTCTCGCGGAGTATTTTTGTTATCTTGTCTCATCCCCACATCTGATTAAAGCGGGATAGGGATTTATTTCTTATTTATTTTATTTTTTGCTTTTACTTTTTTATTTCTTTAATTAGTAAATATTGTTACTTTTTTTTTTTCAATTTATTAAAAAAAAATTATGTTCTCATTAAAAATGATGATACATATATTATTTTTATTTGATGAAAAACTTAATTTTGAAATTAATTTTAAATGTGAAGGGTAGCGGGGCGGAGATTATATTTTCCATACCAGTCCCGTACCCGTTTCGGGACAATGACTCCGTCTCGTTTACCTGATTGGGACGGGGTCCCACATATATCGGGTTGAACAGATTTTTGGCCATCCCTAATTATTATTTTTCTTTTGGGTGACACACTTAGGTCACAAATTTTAATAAATGCAATTTAATAAAGTTGAACCATATGCATTTATTTATCTTGATTAGACCAATGAAAGCGAAATTCTTATTTAAGAAACACATCACCTCATGCCTAGGATAAGATATCTGAGGGTATAAAGTGAATCATATGCACATTTAGTCAACAAAAGGCGATATTAATCTACACATCAGATAACAATGTCAAATTGGTCAATTTCAAGTTTAAAGCCATAAGCCCTAATGCGATTTTAACCTATACTATACTGATTATTGATTTTAAATTTTTTCGATTCAACTGACCATCGGATTTTTTTTTGACAAAAGCAATTCATTAATCATCATAAAAGCAAGTTACGGATACAATGAGGAGTATCCTCCAACACAATTCTCTTCTCGAAAAGTTTAAGTGTCTCCTTTGCTAACGTATGAGCAACCACATTCACTTTCCTAAGTACATGACTAACATACCAAGAATGAAAATATTCAAGCATGCTCCTCGCTTCTTGAGTCAATAAACGTGGGTAGTTCCACAAGTCAAAGTCTCCATCCAATCCCTTGGAGTATTGGAAGTTGTATCACTTGGTAAACAACTCGAACTGGTAACATTGAATTTACCTTCAAAATAGAAAGTGGAGATGAGCAATTAATGCCAATTTTGAGGGTGTGTTCGGTAGAGATTAAAATCGGATTAAAATTGAAAAATTAGTCGTTATTGTTGACTTTTATTATACAAGTGAGATCCAATAACAACTATATTTTCAATTTTAATTGAAATTTAAATTTAGCCAAACATGCTCCGAATCTTGACCAACTATTCAAGTCCAAGCTGCCGTTGACCAGTAGAATTCCGTTTGATCCCTTAACAAAGCGGGGCATTTGTCAAATTGGCCTTATTGACCAAGCCTTTTAAACTTTTTATAAAATTGTCTATTTATCCTTAATGATATAAGTTTTATTTATTACAAGATATATCTCTTCTTTATGAATAGTTTTAGAGTTTAATTTTTTACAAAACATCATAAATTATTAATGGGTAAATGGCGCAAAACGTCCC